GACAGCAAAAAAGCAACGACAGCAAAAAAAAAACACTCTTACCGAGTAATCCCAGACCGAAACCCTAGAATAAGAAGGCCCAATCCATGAAAGGAGTAATCGGATCCCGAAGCACTAAAGGAGCAAAGATCGACCGAAACCGTAATGAAAGAAGGCCAACCCCTGAAAGGAGTAAACGGACCCCGAAACCCAAAAAGGAGTAAACCCAGGCCGAAGCCGTAAACGGAGTAAACCCAGACCGAAATCCTAATGAAAGAAGGCCCAAGCCGAAACCCTAAAACCTAAACGGAGTAAACCGACCCCGAAACGCTAAAGGAAGTGAAAGGTAAACATTTGCCAACCGTGGACGGCTAGCAAAAAAAGGCCAAGTAGCACAGGAAAAAAAGATACAAGTGACCCAAAAATAAAGGACACAAACGATCCAAAAAAGACACAAGTGCTGGGGCACCCCCTCCTGCTCCTGCTCCTGCTCCTGCTACTGCTACTCCTCCTCCTCCTACTACTACTACTACTACTACCACTACTACTACTACTACTACTACTACTACTGCTCTTACTACTATTACTACTACTACTACTACCACCACCACTACCGCTACCGCTACCACTACCACTACCACTACTACTACTACTACTACTACTACTACTTCTAACTACTACAACTATAACTACAGCTATTACTGCTACAACTGCGGCGACGACGACGACGACTACTACAAACGATCTTGCTGTAGTGAATCTGACCATCACGAGAGCATTGTGTTTGCAAAAAAGGGGTTGCTACCCACCCACCCTCCTCTGCACCCCCATTTTTTAACGCCGTGCAAACCTAATTCGATCAATGTCTGCATCAACGTACAATGCTTGATGAATCCTTTCCAAACAACTTGCCTTTGTTTAAACCACTGTTGTGTCATCACTGTACATTCCTTCGTTAATCCTTTCCGAAATCCTTGCGAAAACTGTTGCTTTACAAATGAAAACTGCGATATGTAGCGGCTGGTTGTTTGTTAACATGTTGACATGCCGTATTTGCAGCATTCTGTATCAAACATGTCAATAGCCTGTGCACAATCGGACATGCTGTAATTGACAAAATTTCAGAAATTCTGGGATTTGCAGGGTTAGAAGCTTCTGTAGAATCGCAAATGCCGTGAGCGATAGCATTTGGAGCCCATGAGTAGCCAACAATGCTGTATTTGCAACATTGCGATCCTGTGAACAGCCAGATATGCTGTAATTGTTATTTCTTGAGCCTTGGAACAGGAACATGCTCCGATCTGGTGTATTTGGAACAAGACAGGGGCAACCTTCGCAACAAATCCGGGGAGGGCCGGTGCCAAGAAAAAACCCTCGGCCTAGCCTTCGCTCGGTACGTAGAGGAATAAAGCACGTGGCCCCCAGCGTCATGATGCTACACAGTGCTATGCTAAAGCATGCTGGGGAGGGTTGGCGGGGGATTGCGATCGCGGTGGTCGTCGCGGTAGTCTAGGTGGTCTTGGTGGCCCTGCTCGTGGTGCCGGTCATCGTTTGCTAGTCGTTCTAGTATCTTCCCTTGGTGTGCATTTGGGGAGCTATGCTGGCATTTGTATTTGTATGGCCCGGCATATTTACAGTTGCCTCGGGCCTGCAGGCAAGAGACAAAGACCTCAAAAAACAGATTTTGAGCCTCGAAAAGTGTTTTTTGTTGGCACTGCCATCGTTTAGGTTTTCTTGTTGCTCTTTCGGTGCCCGCAAGGGACGCTGGCGTAGCCAGGCCAAATCCCAACAATCGGCAATCGTTGTACGACGCGTAGGCCTTTTGCAAACCTTCGCAGTAAACAGACCCTCCCAAATCATGGTCCTAGAGACACGGGGAGGATTTCTTTGTTTACCCTGAATCCGACGAAGAAAAGGATGACCAAAAGGAAGGGATAAGCAAAGAAGTCCAAACTGTTGGGCGCACGCCATGCCCCAAGTCGGGGCCCAGAAAGGGATGAGGGAGGGTGGTTAGGGAACTTTGAGGCGTCGAGTCTAAGCTAAAGCAAGGGTTCAAGGATGGCTTCCGAGGCGACGTAGGTACAAGCCTCAAATTTCAAGAAGATGGTGACCAAAAGCTACAGTAGAATTTGCTTGTTGCGCGTGGCATTAGTACAGTTGTCCGGCTGGGAAGAGCGTGGGTGGACTGGCATTCAAGAAAGTTACATGGCCGAGCACTCTCAACCGTTTCCAACTGAGCCATATTGCATTGGCTAGCGAAGGTATTCGCCAACCTTCGTGGAAGCCTTTACCGGGATGCAGGTTGGCACGGAAAGACCTTTTTGCGTTTGTTTGGATCCGCCTAGGGTTTCCAGCAAATGCTGCAGTGAGAGGAACAGCTGGGCCCTGAGCCTGCGCCACAACAGCCAACAGCCAGCCAATTCCGTTCCCGTCATCTAGAGGGAGGGTTCCGCATGGTCGGAACAGGATGCTCTGGAAGACAGTGCTGTCCGGGGTTGTGCCCATGAGTGCGTACTAAGTAGTACTAAGTTTCCCAAGGAACTTGATTTAAGTTCTTTGCCGATCCTTGTAACAGATCTTTTCTCTGGCTTGCGGCGGCCACCATACAGCAGCAGTGGGCGAGCAGTGCCAGGCGTGCCGGGCTGTTGCAAGTGACTTGAGTATTCCTTCTGCTGAGTCTCGGTGCTGACATTGGAAGTGCTACCGATGCACAGGTGCAAATACAGGTGCAGCAGAACGTGGTTGCGATTTCTGATTTAGGCCGCCGCTGTCGTTGCAATCTAGACCACCACGAGCCAAACTTAGCGATACGGACCCCCCCCAATCGCACCACGTCGTGCTGAAACCATAATGTGGTCGCAGCCTCACTTAGCTCCAACATTTGCTTTTTGCTGCAGGCAGGACTGCCAACATAAAAAATCAAAACTGCTGCTAACAAAGCAACAGATCTGTCAGTCCGTTTTCGCAGGTGATGACCTGGGGAGGAGGACTCCGTGCCTGCATTGCGGTTCTGCCTTTGAAATCGTCAGTCAGCATCGTTCCCTGCGAGCCGGAGCAGGGACTTCAAAACAGAAGCGAGTATGGCAATGGACTCCTGAATGCATCCAGTCACCCAGTCCTAAATGGGTTGACCTCGCTGACCAAACAGCGCGTGCCTGTGGCAGGAGCTTTCGGCAAGCTGGGCCATGGGAATCGCCTCGCCCAAACCACCCCCAAGGTGCACTCACATTAGAGATGTTAGTTGGTTTTCAGCTCTCATACAGCGATAGACTACAGCGTAAGCAGGGATGCGTGAGGCGGTGGGCAGCCGTGCTGTCCATGCATCGTCACTACAAATGGCAGTAGCAAGCCCCAACAACAGGGACACAACAGGGACAGGGGAGCATTATGCTGGGTTGTTGGCTTCGGCAAAGTTCTACGCCAATACCCTTGTGTTTTAGCAAGGCCTCAGAAAGGTACTGACGAGCACGCTCGAAACCCTTCCTTTATGAGTTGGGTGACATGAACTGGATTTTGTCAGGTGGTCATCGCGCTGCAAGGCCGAGTGGGAGATACAGTGAATGGCGTCGTAGGTCGTAGGTTCCCTTGATCGACAACGTGTTGTGTTCATCCGTGCTCCGAGAACTGCGATTTAATAAGGATCCCCACGCACTGTTTCTAGTCACGACCAGCCTTCCACCCCCGTTGAAGACCAAGGACGTAGATTCTAATCATGAGCCTTGACTGGCTTTAAGGCAAGCGCGTGGTACAAGTCGCACTAGGTGCTCGGCTTGATGTTAGGGGCCCTTTTGATGGGCATGCTGGATTTTGTTGCAGAGCACGGTCGGGGAGTGGGGAGGGCGGATTTTGCTCAGCCTTTTGGAATCCTGGAAGTTTGGCCGGATACGTGCCTGTATTAGTCTGTCTAATATATTAACGAGAAGTATGTTCACAATGATCGAAGCTTGCCTTCAGCGGGGCGCTCAGACATCAGGTGTCCCGGAGTCAGAACCGTAAAGCCCCAGCATCAGCATCAGAAGCAGAATCGACATGTACAGAATTCGCTGCTTCTTCCCTCATCCCCCAGCCGTGAACCTGGACGATCCGAACATGCTGACAGCTGAGGACCTCATCATTCAGCTGCCTTGACCCAACGAGGTGAAGTCTTCACTTGGGGCCAGGCAGCGACCCACTCATTCATTGTCATTCATGTTCGGAGTTGTAATATCGATATTGATTGCACTGCTGATGCATCATCAAGTTCTGTTCTGTGTCGGGGTCGGCACTTCTCAGCCCCATAGCGATATAAGGCACTATGTCATCATGCAGCAAGCTGCAACAGATGTTTGAAGATGGTTGCGATGCATACCTTCCACGCCATTGCCTTTCTGTACACATGGCGGGACCCATGAAACCGTTGTCGCCTGAATAGTGTGTAGAATGGGATGACGCGCTAGATGCAGTTCCAGCTCGATTTGGGTCTTAGCTGATGCTTCTGTTAAATGTGCAGGGCGGCCGACAAAATCCGTATCGTTCAAAATTCAGATTCAAGTCTTGCAGAGCCCCGCTCTATCTAGCACTCTAGCACCCTCCCGCGCCCTCATCCCCTCCAGCCTTCCGCCCCAGCCCTCCAGCCTCCAGCCCCAGCAGCCTAGCCCTCCGAAATAACTTGATGGTTTTACGGCTTAGGGTGCATGGTTTTAAGGTTTGCCTGGCTGAAAGAAGGGTTTCCCACGCTTAGGGCTGGAGTACATCTAGCTCTTAAAGCTTCTGATTAATATACGTATGAAAACACACCAAGATATACTGTAAAATCGCTTCAAAGCTCTCCTGCATGAGACATAGAGCTGGATGGTGTTGGGAGGAGGGCTATAGAGGGTTGGAGGCCAGAAGGCTTGAGGGCTGGAAGGCTACCAGGGGAAGGCTCGAGGTTGGAGCGCTGAAGCTCAGAGACGGCGGCACAACGGAACTGGAGGGGCGTGGAGGGCTGGAGGCCGAGAGGGCTGTTGGGTTCTACTGAGCACTAACTCGACAATGCAAGAGTTGAGGGTGGGGTCGGCAGCCCGGCGACTCCTTCACAGAGGTACAGTAGTGTGTAACAAACATGGGTGCCACTTGTATCCGGATATAATCGGCACCGTAAAGCTAGCAGCAAATGCAGCAAGAAGCTCTTGGAGTCTGAGCGGTGATGGGGCTTTGGCCTTAGCGCAACTGGATCTGCCTACCTTGATGTCATCGGTTCGGCTGCCAAAGTTTGCCGATGTGTGGAAGCTCCACCCAACCCGTTTGAAGATGACCTGCGAGCAGAGCTGAAGCCAAACACATAGCTCAATCTGGCTTCTTGCAGCGGAAATGCCTCCGCCTTGTGCCCTTCTCGAGGCTGGTCGCCTCGGACATGCTTCACAGGGAGCCGAGGTTGATGCTACTCGGAGTACAGAATAGCCGGTACAGGGTGTTTCGTCCCGGCCCAGACGAGGCGCCCTTGGGAGAATTTGGCAGAGTCTGATTCTATGTGTTGTTGCTTTTGTCGAGGGGATTGTTTGGTGGGGGCAGGTCTGTCAATTTGGGCAAGCACCACGACGTTTAGATATTTCGAACACATTCACTAAGAGCGCAGTTTGCAACTCCGGCCCCATACGCTTTGGAGAGAGTGTCGAAGCATGCACTAACAGCAGCAGTAGGAGGAGGAGGAGGAGGACGAGGAGGAGTAGGAAGAAGTGTAGCAGTGGTAGCCGTGGTGGTGCGCGCTACTACGACAAAGCATGACAGCTTTGACGATGGACCTTGATGGTTGTTATATGGCACTGGCTTTTTTCACCGATGCGATAGACTTGTGAAGTGAAGGGTTGTTCAACTCGCCTGCATGTACGGGCTGTGTGAGTTTCCCTGGCTGAGTGTACAAAACTTCAGCCAAAACAGAGTTCCACACCTTCGAGGTGTCGAACAAAGCGAATTCGTGTCCAAGCGCCAAGCCACCACAGCAAAGGAGATGCTGCCTCGTCCCGTGGCTGCATTGTCCCACGTGGCCGTCGCGCAGATCTCCTGCTTCCTGGACTTGATTTGGTTCTCCAGCTGCTTCCTCAAACTGAGTATCTCAGAGACTAGGTGACTACCATACGTGTTACACGGAACGGAGTGGCTCAGAGCAAAGGCTTCGGAAAGAAGGCTTCGCAGCCTGAGGCAACTGCTTGTTTCTTGCTGGGTTCGCACCTGGATTATGCCGGTCACTAAGGTGGCCACAGCCACTGTGCAGTGGTCACGGAGACCGGAGACGTTTGGGCGTGGGGGAGTGCCAGGAGCTGTGGGGGTGTCCGAAGCCAGCTGAATCAGAGTTGAGAGTTCCAAGTCTTATTCAGGTCGACCTTAGCCGGACACTAGCGAGTAGTGCAGGATGTGAGAAAATGAGGGTAAATACGTATCTTCAAGACATTCCGGGAAGGACTTACGGCCACACAGAGCAGGGCGCCTATCCCAATGTTCCCACCATGATCAAGGCGTCGACTCTGCACAATTCCAAGATGTGGAATCAGAACAGAATAGGCAGATCTCACCGGTCAGCAGCCACCGCCTTTTCACGTCTTACGCCAGTGATTCGTCTCAAGCAATTAGAAGCCTTCAATTAGCGGCCATCACAAGCAAGTAAACGAAACCATCTTGAAGAACACAGTCATTCCGGTTGTTGCAGCGATGTGCCCCTGTTTCGCTGGTACTGGTGCAGAGTACCCATGAGCCGCAGAGGGTCTTATCGCCTTGCAGCTATTCTTTGCAAAGAAAGGTGTTGGAATCACCAAGCCGCAACACGTCTTCTGGCCCCAGCAGGTGCTCACAGGGAAGGCCATAGTGCACGTGGCATGCGGGGTGCCAGGGGCTCGGGCATCAACAGGGTGTGGGGGCCAAAGTTTCGAGGTGCACACCATGTCTTCTGAGTTCATCGCAAGAAAGCCGTAACTTGCATGAGCTTAGCCTGTACTTTCTCGGGAGGCTTTCAGGCTGTTGCGAGTCTCCTACTGTGGCCGTCAAGTAGATGAGAAGCCTCCGACACCTGCGAATCCAAACCTTGAGGATTCAACCACGCCTCTGGGCCCAAGCCGGACAGCACTGCTTCTAGTTTTTTTGGCGATCCCACAATGGACGTGGATTACGATGACGAGGTTGCCGAGGAGGGTGCACGCCCTGCCGGGCGACGCATGAAGGGCCGCGGCGGTGAGGAGGACGATCGTTATGCGGGCAAGGCCGGAAAGTTCGAGAGGCTAGACGATGACGATGACGAGACAGGGGCCGCGCGATCCATCGAGGGCTGGGTCGTAATTGTTTCTGGCGTCCACGAGGAGGCACAGGAAGACGATATATTCGAAGCCTTTTCGGAGTACGGAGACATCAAAAACTTGCACCTCAACCTGGATCGCCGCACCGGTTTCGTCAAGGGCTACGCCTTCATTGAATACGAGAACAAGCAAGAAGCAGATGCAGCCATCAAGGCCATGGATGGCAACACGCTCTTGGACCACAAGCTAGACGTTAGCTGGGCCTTTGCCAAGCCGGGCAGCAAGAAGAAGCGCCGATGAGGCGAAAACAGTGCAGTCCTTCAAGGTTGCTGCGGAGCCTCGACTTATTGCGGTCGTCTTCACATGAGTGTGTTCTGGCCCAGCCTAGGGCATCCTGGACGGATCCTTAAGACTTTCTGAATCAGAACTTACTTAGTCACCGGATGCAATGTTCCAAACGTGGCTGACATCACGTCCAAGAAGGACGCGTTTTGTGCAAGGATCCGCTTCCGCATAGCTCGGATGTGCAGGAGTGGCGAGGCCATTTTGACAAGTCGACAGTTACCCCGTAAATAGTCCGAGTCGGATGTTGACATGGTAGGCCTCTTAGACATCGAAATGGCACCTTGACCGGCCAGCCGCTCCAGCCCTATAAACTGCACAGGAACCCAGAATCAGTTCATGTGCGCCACACAGAAAAACGGGAAGGTTGTCCTGCGGTTGGGCAAATGCTGCAGATCTCTGTCTTTCAGGAATGTCCGTACACCAGACCCTTGATTTGGTGCAGTCGTGGAAAGCTGCGTTTAGGAACTGTGCGTGTGTGCGGTATACATTCAGGCACGCTCGCATTAGTGGAGTGGACTTAATAATGTGCAGAATGCCGTGGTGGTGGTGGTGGTGGTGGTGGTACTATAGTAACTAGTATGTCTACTAATAGTAATACTAATAGTTGTAGTCGGTAGTGGAAGTGGCATTGGTAATGGCAGTGGTAACGAGTGGTTGTCGTAGTCGTAATAACTATCGTTATCATTATGTTTATTATTGTTGTTTTTGTTTGTAGCAGTAGTAGTGGCAGCAGTAGCAGTAGCAGTAGCAGCAGCAGTAGCAGTAGCAGTAGCAGTAGCAGTAGCAGTAGCAGCAGCAGCAGCAGGAGCAGTAGCAGTAGGAGTAGGAGTAGGAGTAGGAGTAGTAGTAGTAGTAGTAGTAGTCTTAGTAGTAGTATTGGTGGTGGTGGTGGTGGTGGGAGCAGCAGCACCAGCAGCAGCAGCAGCAGCAGCAGCAGCAGTAGGTGGTGGTGGTGGTGGAAGCAGTGGTTGCACAGTAGTCGTAGTAGTAGTAGTAGTAGGCGCCCCCCCCCCTACCAACCACCTCTGCTGCCAAGCCTCTTAAGAGCACGTTCGTTTTACTCGGTATTTACGGTACGTTCGTCCTGTCACACCACTTCTTCTTGCCTCAA